CTGGGGCTGTGATCTAGAAAGAAAAATATTTTGCAGCCCAACATATGTCCATTGCTCTTGGTACCATATTTAAGTGGGCACAAAGCAGTGTTCTTGCCAGTGATTCCACTAGCTCCCATTTTAGATACTGTAGTGGAACTGTTCCCCTCTAACAAAGGTTATTGGGCTTGCCAAAAGCCTTGGGTGCCAAAGGCATCTACTGCACCTATCACCTGCACCAAGTGACGAGAAGTTGTGCCATGCTATTAATAGTGCTCATTACTGCCGTGGCCAAAAGTCTAGGGTGAAAACCCAGCATATTAGCTCCCAAGGCAAATGGCTTTACATCTTATCCCAAAGGCTTTTGAAGCACTCAGTTTGCTTTTAAGCAGCGCTCAGTATACTATCTTAAAATGGGTTTCCCTTCAGCTTCTAATTAAGCTTTTCTGTAAGTTAACATATCTTTTCCTTTCTCTTTCCAAGCAGCAGAATGCAGAAAACATCAGGTTGCAGGTTCCTACGACACACGTAAGGTAATGCATAAACTTGTTCTGAGCTAATCTTGAAGACCTTATTCTAAATGTTTCCAGGCAATAAATATGCTTCCTATTCTAAATAACTACCTGCACCGAAGGCAAGTTCAAACAACGTAAAGAATAAATACAGACCTTAGACCACAATGAAAGTCAGCTCACCTTATTCTTGCAAATTCTTTGGGATACTAGGCTAAAGATGAGTTTATATATGTGATACTCCTATGTTAAATCAAATACCTCATGCAAAATAAATGGCTGATCAAAACTCATGCCTAACCTAGCAGCTGAAAAAGCAAAATAGAATTGCACGGTTGGGGACCGCAATCAGTGTTTTGAGGTGATTTGTGCTATGGTAACTTTTGCACAACTAACGCAGCCGGTACCGTGTGCTTTTTAGGAGCAGACCATCCTCAAGAGGAGATGAACACGGACATGACTCGATCCAGGAAAAATTTTTTCAGCCTCGTTTTACGCAAGTGCCTGAAGATGTGATTATTGAGGAGGGACGATTCTGCAGGCTCGACTTCAAAGTAATGGCAGCCTTTCCCTTTCAGTGCCATTAGCTTTGTGGTGTGCGCAGCACGCAACAGCTTGCCTGTCTTGGGCACCATCTTTAGTCATTTTAAGGCAAAATGCCTAACTTGTGAATGTAAATGCATCCAACTCCCTATGCCATTTAAGGCCTCGTGTTATGTTAAAACTCTAACTCTTCACTTCTTTTGTCTCCTTTACAGGTTAGTGGGCTGCCAACTCCAGATGTGATGTGGTATCTGAATGGAAGGATGGTTCACCAAGACCAGTTCCATAAAATGATAGTGTCAGAAAAAGGATTCCACTCGTTTATTTTTGAAGCAGTCAAATCATCTGATGCAGGAACGTATGAATGTGTGGCTGTGAACCGTGCAGGGGAAGCCTCTTTCGCAGTAAAAGTTGAAGTAATTGGTAAGATACTGATGACTAATAATTACCTGGCAAGTTTCTGTAGTCTAATGTCTGCCTCTGTGTTTGGGACACTAAAACAACTGGGAAGCAGAGGTGGATCTCCACGTACATGGGTTCAATTTATAACAATTGCTTTACCTTTTCCAAGATTATTCTAATGCAGACTTCAGGGACTCAGTATTTCTTCAAATTACTTGTATTGGGATATTTAGGCATCCTGTCTGAACTAGGGAGTGACTCAGATATCACAGTATTGATAGAATATGTTACTCCACTGTCTTTCTAAAGCAGAATTTGTGCCTACTATATCCTGCTGCTCCTGGCAATTCTCCATAGACTATGGAGTTACTTCTGCATTTAGCTTTCTAAAAGCTTGGCCCATAGACTATGGAGTTACTCTAAGGGACATTAATCCTTCTGCATTTAGCTTTCTAAAAGCTTGTAAACAAAGCCTGCTATTGACATTCAATACTTAAGTATAATTCCTCCTCATCTTTCCTTTTTAATTTAGCAAAAGAGCATCATACTCCTCCAACTTTCATCTTCAAACCACAAAGCAAAAAAGTTTTTGAAGGAGATACAGCCAGGCTCGAATGCCAGATCTCTGCCATCCCAACACCCCGGATTTACTGGAAAAGAAACAATGAAATGGTACAATATAATACAGACCGAATAAGGTATCCTACTAATGAGTTGGCCATTGGTGTGTTAGAAAATGATAACCAGTGTTTAAGTCAAAACTGAATGAGCTGGTTTCTAAAAGCAGCAGCCCTGGCTAGCTATGCCTTTCAGTTACTACACGTAACACAGGCCCATGTGTTGGCAGAGGCAATGCTCAGAGTCTTGTTTGAGAGCACAGAAAGATGACCAGATGCCACTCGGAAGGCTCATAGCAGTCACAGTGCCCATGGGGCAGGCAGGCTGGAGGATGAAGTGTGCAATGTGCTCATCAGGCTTTGAGGTGCTATGGGCTACAAGAGGGTTTTGATGCCCCCTGCACACTACCACACTGCGAAGGAGTGGTATTTTTGCAGCACACCAACGCAGTGTTGATGCCTAAACAATTTGCAATGCCCTGCAAAAACTGTTCTAGGGCGTTCTCAACTCCTCAGTGTGTATGCTGCCTCTCTAACTTCAGTGTCTTTGTCTTATCTCCTTCCCCCTCTAAGCATTTACACATCAACCCTTTAATTTTGCAGCTTGTTGCATGACAATACGGGAAGGATTTGCCTCCTGATTCATAATGCCAACAAGAAAGACGCTGGCTGGTACACGGTATCTGCTGTTAATGGAGCAGGTGTGGCCACATGCCATGCCAGACTGGAGGTTGCAAGTAAGTACCACGTCACAGCACCATCAGCCTACAACTGAGGCAGACACTTGCCTCTGTATTCAGAACAGGCCCTGAATATTAACCTTGTAAAGCTAACTCCTGCGTGGATTTCTTTCCCAAGATACTGACACAGACAAAAAGTAACTAGTCCAGGAAGATATTGCATTTGCTCTGTGTCAAAATACTGTGAAATGTGTTCTTTGTACATGGTGTGTCTGCATCTACTGCCTGCACTACTTAAAGACTACAGTTTGCGTGATACCAAGCAGTAGGATGGATGTGGGCCTTCCCATCAGTCTCCAGTGTCCTAGGGACAGGCTTATCTGTTAAATCCGTCCTCAGGGTTTGCTGTTTTACATTGCATTTCAAAACATTTGGGTTGCCATATCACAGGTGCCTGGGAAAACCCTCTAAGACTTTTCTCTCTCCTCCAGCACATGCAAACAAGCCAGTTCCAGCCCCAAAGCAGTTACGGGTTCGACCAACTTTCAGCAAGTATTTGGCGCTCAACGGTAGAGGACTGGATGTGAAACAAGCTTTCTCACCAGAAGGAGAGTTTCAGCGTTTGGCTGAGCAGTCTGGACTATACGAAAGTGATGAACTTTAACTGGAAATGAAGACTGAAAACCCATTTGCACCTACAAGAGACACTTACGATATAGATGCAGTTAAATGGTGATTGCTCTAACTAGCAAAATACCTAGCTATGTATTTTTACTTTGACTCTTGCACATTCTGCTGTTCCAATTTTACCACATTAGATTTTATTTATATGGGGTGGTGAATGTAACCCTTTACTGAGTATTGTATTTTAACTGTACAGCCCAGGAAAGCAGGGCCATTAGTTTTCACAAGTGTGGGTGTTTCTAGTTACACCTGTGCTAAAGTAGATTGGTTTGTACTGCTTCTCTAATATCACTCTTGATAATATCAGAACTCTGTGCTGCCTGAATACTAAAAACCAATGGATTAGAGTGTTTTTATGAGAATTTGTCAAAGACAAATAAAACTTTAAATGTCCCCTCTAGGCTGTGGTGATTCCTTATTCTGGCAGCTGGCACAGTGGCATCTCCCCTGCTAAGCCTGCCCCTTGCACTCTCCCCTTTTCTGCTGTCCTTATTCCTTGTCCTTCAAGCACTGAAAGGTAAAGCAGCATAAACAAGATGCTGACATGTCCTTAAAGGGCTCCAAGGAGGCCGTGTCAATGTGTATTTTTTTTTCCCCAGGACTGAGATGTTTAATGGGGAGTGTGGAGGCTGCCCCCTCTTTGCTGCCTCCATCAAGTTGGGGCTGGGAGCTGGACCTGGCTCTTGGCTCTCCGCAAGCTCTTGAGATGGAGCACTCAAGTAGTTATGCAAGCACAGTGCTCAAGACACCCAAAAGCTGTTTTGGCCAACCTCCAATCACCTAAAATCTGCTCTTTGCAGCTTCCTTGTTCTCAAACTGCAGGTGCTAAAGGAAACCTGCAAAGCTGGCACCAGGCTGAAGGCTCCTGTGACCAGGCACAGTCACCCTGCTGCAGGTCTCCAGACCTCAAAAACAGCTTAGAGGATAGTTGGGTGTTTTTTGCAGGAGGTTTGAACTTCATGCCACGCTGCTGTATGACTCAACCAAAACCCCAAGCACCAACAACCTCCTGCTGCAATGCTGTGGCTGCACCACCACACACTTCTCCAGGGCCTCCACCACCACGCCAGGCCACAGGCCTGCCATGGTGATTAGCAGTTACACCCAATTAATGCTTTTGGCTGCTCTGAGCTGATGTAGCACAGATTGAGTCTCCCCGAGCTGCTTTCTAAGCAGCATCCATGACCCCACTAAGGAAGGACAGTGTTCCAGCCGCACCAGCCCAGCCTGAGCTGGGTAACACCACACGGTGCTCGCAGAAACACTCACTTAAATGGACACATTCTCTCTTCTCACAGCGGAAAGGAGCTTCCTACAGCAGGGAGCCAGCCCGTGGCACCATCTCAGGCTGTAATTTATAGTTTCATCCCCGCGGAGGCGAGTGGCAGGCGGGAAGCGCCAGCCT